CGCAGACTCCGGTTGCGCTGCGCATGCGCCGAACGTCCCGGGAGGCCGGCCAGGCCCTTAGCGCAAGGTGATCCCAGCGAAGTGCTGCGACCTGCTCTGCCCGCTGTGAGCTTCCCCAGGTTTGAGATGCGCCTGTCCTGGAGGGCCTCGGGCAAAACCCCTTAGGGAAGATATTCTACAAAGAGACCACTTTCACCTGCTTTCTTAGCTTTGCTGATTGGGCACAGCATGGGAAATGCAGAAATAAATGTGACTGGGTGGATTTGTTTGTTCATTCTACGTTTATTCCTCTGCAGTTGTGAAACAGGCACCGCCCTGGGAACTAGAGGAACGCATAGAAAAAAAGTAGACAGGACAGTCTTACATTATACGAGAGAGACATACACTGAGGGCTAATGTTGAGTATTCTGCGCCATGAACGATTAACTCATTTAACCCCTATCACAACCCTGTAATATTGTTATCTTCATTGTACATAGAGGAAAATGAGGTGTGGAATTTCGTAATTTGCCCAGGTTACAATGAGCTACCCATTGAGGAGTTGAGATTCAAATCCAAAGTAGTAAAACATCTGGCAATAAGGCCTTCCATACGGAGCGGTGTCACTTTTACAAGAAGCTGTATAAACAGTGATCTTTAATTCATGAAAAGGAAAACTAAGGAGACATTTTTGATTAGACCCCAGAGTTTCCACTCCTGGCTCATGGGAATTGAACCCTGGGTGAGGCCATTGAATGTTTTGGCATGTTGGTGTTGTACTAGCAATTTCTAATATGGGGGTTATGTAATTAGAATAAAGATGGCCCATGCCTGTGGTCAGGTCTATGCTAATAAAAGCAATGAGCAGGAGTATGTGTCTCATACTTATTTATAGGGCCAATTCTAAGCCTGGGCCCTTGATAAAGGTGATCCTCCTGCTCACCTAGCCCCATTTTTGGTACAGGGTTTAAAAAATATTTGTGGAATTGAATTGAATTGTAATGGCAGTGGAGATGCTGAGTAATTAAATAAATTACAGTTTAAACTGTAATTCTGACAAATAATAACTAGGTGGACATCAGGGTGAGTTCCAATAAACAAAAAAGAACATCGTGGGAGGTAGAACTTTTAAGCCATATCTTGAAGAGATGAGAACCGAGGGAGAGAACTATTGAGCAGGAGCAGCCTGCACAAAGCACAAAGACTTCAAGTAGCTTGGAAAACAGAGTGAAGGACAGGGGTACTACTTAGGACAAGTGCAACAGGATTAAAGAAGGCTGGGGAACCAGACAAAGCAATCTGTCTTTGAGACAGTTAACAATAGTAAATCTGTAGATTCTTCAACTAGAATAATAGCATTAAAAAAAAGGATGTTTTGGGAAAGTTAGTTCAGCAGTAACCATTTAACAAGCACCATTATTTTAGTGTTTTCCCCTCAGAAAATTCTGCTTAGCTCTGCAAGAATTCAGAAAAAAAAAACACAGAAGACAGGCTTACCACAGGAAATGATCTACATGATGGACTGAAGGATCACAGCAATGTAACAGAAATACAAGGCACACTACATATGCATTTTAAGCTTTTCTAATAGCCACATTTAAAAATAAAAAAGAAACGAGTGAAATTAACTCGAATAGTATTTAATTTTATTTAACCCAATGTATTCAAAATATTTCAAAGTGTGAGCAGTATAGAAATTATTAGTGCAATATTTTACATTTTTTTCATATTATCTTCAAAATCTAGTGCATATTCTGCAGTTACAGCTCATTTTAACTTGGACTAGCTGCATTTGGAGTGCTCAATCACCACATGTGGCTAGAGGCTATATTATTGAACTGTGCTGCTCTAGATTATCAACCTAGAGACTATTAAAAATCTAAGTTTAAATTGATGGTTTATTAGGGATGTAACAGGAAGAGTGGAAAAGAAGACAAGACACTGATACCAAAACCATCTTGGAAGGAAAATAACATTGCATTCATTCAGCAATATTTATTAAACAATTTCTATTTAGTTCTCTGATAATCAAAAGCTTATATGCCTTACAGTCTAGTAGAGATATAAATATGTGAATAGAACAATTAACAGCCACATCGTATAGTCTATAGCACATCTGACTCCCTGGAGGTCAAATATATGGGGACAGAAGGAGACTAGACTTTGGATGGTGAATATACAATGCAATAGATAGATGACGTATTATAGAATTGTATACTTAAACTTATATAATGTTATTAACCAATATCACCCCAATAAATTTAATTAAAATAATAAAGTACCCTGGGAGTAAAAGGAATCGAACATCAGTAACCTGGAAAAATCAGGGAAGACTTCGCCGAATATATGATGCTTAATTTTGGTTTTAACAGGTGTAGGAATTTTTCAAGTAATAGGTATTGAGAAGAGGAAAAGATTATCTTGAAAAAAATAGTAGAGACTTCTGAAAGTTATGAGCTGGAAGTAGTGAGAATATGAGGCTACAGGAACCTAGAATGTGAATGGGGAACAGGTAGGTAGAAAGGGAAACAAAGTGGGAAGGTAGATTTGAGGCCAGGAACTTAAAAGCTTTGTAGCCAAATTGCAGATTGAATTTTACTCCAGGGGCATAGAGAGCCAGCAGAAGGTTTTACACAGAGAAAAGATCTGATTAGCTTTGTTTTCTGAAATCATAGCGGCAGGCTGGAGAACGTGGTTGGGAAAAAAATGTTATTGGGGAAACAGATTACAGACAGTACTATTGTAATACAGCCTAAAGAAGATATGCTGAAGGCCTATTTTAAGCCAGTAGCATACAGTTTGGAAGAGACAGAATCAAATGATGTTTTAAATTTAGAGGCAGCAAGATTTGGCAGCTGACTATATGTGGAGGTTGAGAGAAAGGAAGTGAGAATAACACCAACGTTACTAAGTTGGGAGACAGGTAAATGGTGATGCCATTAATCCAGATCAAGAATAGAAGGGACAGTACAGATTTGGGGTTGAGGAGAAAGGTGTTTGCTTGAGGACATGTTAAGTTTAAGGTGTTCATAGGACATCCATTCAGCTCCAAATGTCTACTGGGACATTGTCTATCTATTTCTAAGGAGAAGGTGCTGGTGAAAACCACTTGCATCATCTACATTTAAATGGTCATAGAAGCCCTAGGGTGGACGGTATTTCTCTAGAGTAGTGGTTCTCAACCTTCTGCCCTTTAAATACAGTTCCTCATGTTGTGACCCAACCATAAAATTATTTTCGTTGCTACTTCATACCTGTAATGTTACTACTGTTATGAATCGTAATGTAAATATCTGATATGCAGGATGGTCTTAGGCGACCCCTGTGAAAGGGTCGTTCAACCGCCAAAAGGGTCGCAACCCACAGGTTGAGAACTGCTGCTCTAGAAAAAGAATATAGACTCAAAAGAGTCCCAAGCACAAAACTCTAGGAATTGCCAACTAAATGAGAAGCAGACAGAAAAAAGTGAACCATTGAAAAGTGAGGTGAAATATGTCCAGGAAGAGAACCAGAGGCCATGGGAGGAGAGGTTTCTAAGAAGTAAGGATGAACACTAATGCCAATTGCTCCAGAAAAGCCAGTTATTTCTGCTTTAGTCAATACATGCAGTTATGGGTTCATGATTTCCCTTCACAACTTGTCTTTAGCCCAGAAACAAGAGAAGTGAATTATCTGGTGAGACTTCCCAGGGCTGCTCAGTAGAATGTTGAGGGAGGGATGGGGACGGCTAGGAGGAAGAAAAAAAGGGAGGGAGGGAGGGAGGAAGGAAGGAAGGAAGGAGGGAAGGAAGGAAGGAAGGAAGGAAGGAAGGAAGGAAGGAGCAAAGAAACAAGTGAACTAAAGGTAAGTACAGGATAAGAAGCGCTGCTAGGATTAACTGTGGAATGTAAGGTGAGGGAAGTCCAAAATGTGTGTGGAAGAGATGAAGTTGGAGGAACTGCAGACTCCTTTGAGGCCAGAGATGATTTGGTCTCCTTAAGAAAAGGATGATACCATCCAAAAAAGGGAGTACCTAGTGACCTAGCTCTCAGAGGGAAGTAGTAACTTCTGATGAGGTCCAGATGTCAAGGTGTCCATAGATGATTGAAAGGCTGGAGAGTGGAGTTGAAGGTCTGTTTCAATAGATTCTTAGAGAGATGGAGTCCTTTTCAACTCTAAAATGTTGTTGCCAGTTGGAATAAAAAGATGAGAAACAGGTTTAGAGAGTTGTACCACAATGGAGCTGGTATACCACGGAGGACACTGGAAAAAAAGAGGGAAACTGGGGGAGTGGAGACATGAAGGAAAAGTACGGCAGGAGTAAAATGAACAAGAGTGAGCCATGTGTGCTGGTGCAGGTGGAATGTCTGATAAGAGCAATAGACTGGACAACTGAAAATGGGGCGAATGGGCCTAAGAACCACTGCTTTTCAATCTCCTACTGTGAGTTAACAATCCTCCCACCAACTCTTTGAGGGAAATCTTATTATACTCATTATTATATTAGGAAGCATCAACCAGAATGGGCCAACTCATGTTGAATAACAAATAACCCCCAAATCTTAATAACGTTAAACAATAGCAGTTTATTTCTTGATCATGCTACATGTCCCTTGGGTTGGTAAGCATTCTGCTCCAGGGATGAGACAATAGAGTCTTTGTCATGTTCCAGGGGAAAGGCAACCAGGTGAGGCTGCTCCCCAGAAATGACACATCTACTTCTAAACCCAATCCATTGCCAAAGCAAGTGCATTACATATCCTAATATTGAGGGAACCAGAAGTGTAATCCCACCATGTACTTAGAAAGAGAAATGGAAATA